CAGGGCACGGCTAACTCACAGATTGAAATCTGAAACAACCTCTGGGCTGATCTAAGTCAGGGCACGGCTAACTCACAGATAGAACCCTGAAACAACCTCTGGGCTGATGTAACTCACGGCATGGCTAACTCACAGATCGAATACTGAAAGAACTCACAGATTGAACCTTGAGAATTCTAAACTTAAGTAGAGTAGAGCCTCGATTACACGATCACACCCTCGGGAAATAGTCCACAACATATCCCTTAGATAGAGGTTGGCTGCATGATAAAGATTGTACTGAATTTTCTTTTATTCTAGTGGCACTTAACAAAGTGGTTGAAGTCAGATGCGGCCAACAGACCAAGAACTTTAACAAGTTTCCATACACTGAAGTAGAAAACCAGTCATTCTCATTAATCTTTGAGAAAGAACAAGGTACAAGTACTATTCCCTAATCGATATTTCTTCGTCAAGTTTCCATACACTGAAGTAGAAAACCAGTCATTCTCATTGATCTTTGACAAAGAACAAGGTACGAGTACCATTCCCCAATCGATATTTCTTCGTCAAGTTTCGTACAGTAACGTGGCAATCGAGGTACTAGAAAAGCCTTCCCACAGGGCATCTTAGTCCCTAATGTCAGTCCGCAAACTGATAAAAACCTAAACCCTAAACCCTGTCCTCAAAGTACTGTCATATGAATAGTCCCCTTCACGGTTCCCTGCGCCATCTTGAAAAGTAGCCGGGCCTTTGCTTGGAAGCGAGACGAACGGTGAGCTTGCAATGATAGAGACCTTTTTTTTAACACCTTGAACAATTATTCGCAGGTCTCTATCATTACAAGCTCACCGTTCGTCTCACTTCGAAGCAAAGGCCCGGCTACCTTTCAAGATGGCGCAGGGGACCATGAAGGGGTCTATTGGTCAGTGGAAAATATTGTGCAGGGAGATTCAGTGTTCTTTTTTTCTTTTCAGGGGAGTGGGGTCAGTTGGTATCTCTGGACCTGATCTGCGATTCTTTGAAAGCATTTGACAAGTGGCATAGTGCTGTAAGTATCTTAGGGTGCTGTAACTCTGGCAGCAAGTGTATTATCACCCCGCGGGCAACGATTTCGCTACTGCTGCTGATGATGATGATGATGAT